TTCTGAAATTTGTAAATATTTCTTAAACATATCGTTTAACCATCTGATACAAATCAGTTTCTTGATAGACCATACAAACTATTATTATTTTCATCTGGTCTTCCTGTCGACAACCTTTAATTACGTTTGTAAATTATACAAAACCAATAGTACAAAAAAAAACAGTTACAAAATAAAAGGGTATTTCAGCAGAAAATATTACGACATAAATTTAGATTAGATCTTGTGACATCTCTGACTACAAACGGCTACTGTACACTGTTATACTCAATATCTACACCAACCATCTGATTTTCCCCAAAGAGGTTCCTGTATCGTTCGTAGTCACAAATGAACACTAAATGAGAGTTTAAAAATTCTGAATTGCTTCTAATCTGCATTACAAACTCTGTGTAAAGAAACTGGGATATAATCTCTCTCTCTCTCTGCATATACCCGCCAGTGGCACAGCGGTATGTCTGCGGACTTACAACGCTAGAATCCGGGTTTCGATACCCATGGTGTTTGAACATTGTGTAGCTTTGTGCTTAATGACAAACAAACCAACTCTCTGCATGAAATCGAGACACTAACAATTTTAAAGAAATAGAGTCTATGAGAAACGAGGAGGAGCTTATGTCTCTCACAATCTGGAATAAAATTTCTCTCTGTGAGAGCTGAAGGCAACATGGTCGCTTACAGCTTCAGGTATATATTCTGCTTAATCTTTGAGATACTTACATCTTTCCTCATTTATAATAAAATCTTAAAAATATAAGAACAGTTTATGGGCCAATTTCCAGGTGCTAATGGTAAAAGTTTGAGTATGATACTTTACTTGAATATATTTAGCAAGGAAAACATTCAGTACTTGTACAAAAATTCCCAACTTAACTCTTTGTCTTTTCCATTTCATATAATATAATTCTAGTTCTTTTTATACATGCATTCATGAAACTCATTCAATTTCATATGTTATGTTAGCATCTGTAATACCATAAATTATTCAATGTAGACCTATTTAGATAGATATAAGTCAGTAAGAAAATTTGTGCGAATTATTCAGTCTTGAATTTGTTCACGTGTGTACTTCTCACGATAAGTTTTCCGTTGTTGACAAAAAAAAGCTGTATCGATATTTATGATAATATTATTGAACGTTTATTCACACATGCTGTATTTTCCTGGAGATCAAAGAAAGTACCGCACGACTCATTTTACTGTTTATCAAGTTGTGAGAAAAAATATATAAGCTCTAACTAGATGATGTAAGCTTTCAGTGTAATCGTATTAAATTACATTTCCCTCTTACTTACACGTATGCACTGCAACAACAACAACAAAAAGAAAAGATTAAAATCAGTTGTTTTGGATATGTCGTTTTTGATAATTTTAAGACGTAGACTTCATTCATCATGTCATTCTTCTTTCTTGTATCTCACCTTTGTAGATCTGGCTCATAATGTATTTATGCAAACCTTTAAGTGTGTTTCTTGACTGTAGAATCCTCTTGCGATTGAAATACATACCAACATTTATTATTTTTGACTGTCTCATTGTATGTTTTCCAAAATCCACTCACTATATAAACTTACTATACTCGATTTTAAAAAGCAGGACTTAGTTGTTTATTTTTGTCTTGTGTCATCAAGTCCATGTAGAACGCTTTTAATTAAACAACCCATTAATATGAGTTGTATAGTTTTTCATTCTCTCTCTCTCTCTGTCCGAAACGTCTGCAAAACAACGCAAAACAGGTTATAGTTATTAGAAAATGATTAACACAACTGAAACAAACCAAAACCACGATAATTCGGTCAAGGTAGCTCTCAACAAGAACAAGACAGAGGAGCCAAGCAAAGCTTAAAACACTAAAACAACACTGGAAAACATGACCAAACACAAGACAGGTAAACTAGATTGAAGCAGTATATAAGAACACAACAAAAACAAAACAAGGAAAATACAACACAAACGTCTTGAGAATAACATAACCGAAACAAATCTGAAAAGCAAAATAACAAAGAAAAGTGAAATCACGATAAAACAGGTAGCTTTCAAGCAAAGCAACAAAAACTAAAACAGTATAACACTAAAACAGTTAAGAACAGAAAAAAATAATATTGCCGCCTAAACAATACAAGAATAAAATAACCCAGACAAAACAGGAAGAACATGGACAATACAAAAATAGTTAAGAAAAGACAAAGTAATATAGTCGCCTAAACAACACAAGAAGAATATAACTCAGACAAAACACTAAGAACATGAACAATACGAGACAGGAAGAAGACAATTAAGAATGGAGAAAAATAAAATAACTACCTAAACAACACAAGAAGAACATAACTCAGACAAAACACTAAGAACATGAACAATACGAGACAGGAAGAAGACAATTAAGAATGGAGAAAAATAAAATAACTACCTAAACAACACAAGAAGAACATAACTCAGACAAAACACTAAGAACATGAACAATACGAGACAGGAAGAAGACAATTAAGAATGGAGAAAAATAAAATAACTACTTAAACAACACAAGAAGAACATAACTAAAAGAAACCCGGAAGAACACTAACAATATAAAACAGGTGGAGGATAGAACGTTAAAATACAAGAACATAACCTAACAAAGACAGAATAATTAAGGTTTTCCAGCTTTGGTGTGCAATATGAAATTAATATATATATATATATTCAGAACGCTATGTCTCTGTGACGGCCTATTGTTCTTACACTCATCACTTATGAATGTTGGAAGTGTACGGAAACAATAAATAAAGCAGTCTTCATTTGGCTCAGAATTTAATTTTTGGTGAACGTATTCTACACCTCATTATATATGCTAGAAATCATTCTTTCACAAGACAGCAGAATTTAACACAAACTGGCAGATACACGTTTTATCCTAAGAATAACATTCCATTGTTCGCGAGGGGTTTCCGAAAAATTCGTGAAGTAAGAGCCACAAGTTTATTTTATTATGATTTATTTCTTGAACACAATCTCCTCTTGAGTCTATACACATGTGCTATAAGGCTTATACGCCCTTCTGAAAGAACTCTTCTTCTTGGTACTCAATCCGTGACTGAAATGTTCGACCTTCCAAAAATATTTTAAGGTTATGGAAGCGAAAAAAATCACTTGGAGCTAAATATAATGAGTAAGAGCAGGTGATTGAGTAATTCTGAGCTAGCAACACGCGATTTGTGAGCTGGAGCATTCAATGTCCTGATGTACCTC